AGTATACCAACATTAGCAATGTTGCCTCATCTGTTACGTCTAAACACAGACCAAGAGATTTTCAAAAGCAATAGACTAAAAAGCAATATATCTGGTGAAATACTCCATGTGGAGGTGCTCAGTTTTCAGGAACTTGCATCTGAAAAATGACAATCTTTACTAAAGTGCCTGAGCGCCCCACGGGTGAAGAACTGAGTGCCTTAGAACGAGATCTACAAAAATGAAGCTAGGTGCTAAGAGCGTGCTGAGGACAGAGTTGTGCATTGAGTTCTGAATCTCTTCAGTGTTCAAATATTTTAATTCTTCGAGCAGAGGTTTTCCTGAAGGTTTTATGCGCTAATTTCTCTTTCAAAAACTAAGGAAACAAGCGTAGCCAGCAGACTCCTGTCTCTGCTCTATACTTTGGTGATTAACGAACTCCTCCAGTATGATTAAACACAGCTACAATTAATTTTTCTCCTTTAGGGAATCTCCTGTCTCCTAACACCCTCTCTGGAATATTCCAGGGCAGTAGAAAAGGAGTGCTCCATCCCCGTCTTTTGAGCCTCACGGTTTTTGTAGACTGAAGGCTTCGTTCGCCTTTAGACAGATGAAGCAGGAGCCGCAGGAGCCTCTGTTCTGGTTAGAGGTCTGTCACTGGGAGCAGGGCACTCGGGGCTGAAGTCCCTGCTCCACTGGCTGTTTCTGGATTTATGGATATAAAACACATAAACAGTCCGTAACACAGACACACAAAGCCATCTTTTGTCCTTCCCAACTGAGTGCCATAACCACGAGGTTACCGACTAATTCCCTCTCTCTGATCTAATGCATTTTTAATTCTTTCAGAGCACAAAGTGGAGCAGCTCCAGCAGAAGGGACAGACTGTGTTTTCCTTCTACCCATGTCCCCCTGGACTGCGTGGGCTGGTTACCTGACAAGCCGGGGAGAGCTCAAGGCTTTGTTGCACAAAGGAAAGCAAACCAGGCCCTTCACCTCAAGAACATTTTAACCACTGAGATGTTTATATTATAGTGGAGAATAACAAAGCCTTTGAGGAGAAAGCATCAGTTACAGCTGAATTTTTGCGTGCGGTTGACTTAGCCAACGTGCTCTGAGACCTGAGGGGTCTGGGTGTCAGAGGAGAAAGTCAGTCAGGCGGAGCCCGAGGTGCCTGTGGGCAAACACACCTTCTGGGAAATTTCAGCATAAAAACTGTAGCATTTCTGGAGATTCGTCCCCTCCGAGGTCAGCTGTAACTGAGTGAGTGGTGTGAGGAAGCCCGGATCAAGTTTTCGTTCTCGAATTCCACACCAACCCCGCCTTCGGCACTCGGCCCCCGCCACGGGGCTCTGGTGA